GTGTCTGACTTTTTGCAACCCATGGACCGCAGCATGCCAGGCCTCCCTGAACTTCACCATCTCCCAGGGTTTGCTCAAACTCATGTCCATTGAGTCAGTGATGCCATCCAACCATCTCATCCTCTGTCGTCCCCTTCTCCTCCTGCCTTCAATCTTTCCCAGCATCAGGGTCTTTTCCAATGAGTCAGTTCTTCTCATCATGTGGCCAGAGTATTGGAGTTTCAGCTTCAGCATCAGTCCTTCCAATGAATGTTGACTGATTTCCTTTAGGATTGACTGGTTTGATCTCCTTGCAGTCCAAAGGACTCTCAAGAGTCTTCTCCAACACCACAGTTCAAAAGCATCAATTCTTCGACACTCAGCTTTCTTTATAGTCCAACTCTCACATCCATACATGACTACTGGAACAACCATAGCTTTGACTAGACAGACCTTTGTTGGCAAAGTAATGTCTCTATTTTTTAATATGCTGTCTAGGTTGGCCATAGCTTTTCTTCTAAGGAGCAAGTGTCTTAATTTCATGGCTGCAAGTCACCATCTGCAGTGATTTTGGAGCCCAGAAAAGTAAAGTCAGCCACTGTTTCCATTGTTTCCCCATCTATTTGCCATGAAATGATGGAACCAGATGCCATGACCTTCATTTTTTTAATGTTGAGTTTTAAGCCAGCTTTTTCACTCTCCTCTTTTACTTTCATCAAGAAGCTCCTTAGTTCCTCTTTTCTTTCTGCCATAAGGGTAGTGTCATCTGCATATCTGAGGTTATTGATATTTCTCCCAGCAATCTTGATTCCAGCCTGTGCTTCATCCAGCCCAGCATTTTGCATGATGTACTCTGGATATAAGTTAAAAAAGCAGGGTGACAATATATAGCCTTGACATATTCCTTTCTCGATTTGGAACCAGTCCATTGTTCCGTGTCCAGTTCAAACTGTTGCTTCTTAACCTGCATACAGATTTCTCAGGAGGCAGGTCAGGTGGTCTGCTATTCCCATCTCTTTAAGAATTTTCCACAGTTTGTTGTGATGCACACAGTCAAAGGCTTTAGCGTAGGCAATGAAGCAGATGTTTTTCTGGAATTCTCTTGCTTTTCTAGTGGATCATAATCCAGTGGATATTGGCAATTTGGTCTCTAGTTTCTCTGCATTTTCTAAATCCAGCTTGAACATCTGGAAGTTCATGGTTCACGCATTGCTGAAGCCTGGCTTGGAGAATTTTGAGCATTACTTTACTAGCGTGTGAGATGAGTACAGTTGTGCAGTAGTTTGAACATTCTTTGGCATTGCCTTTCTTTGGGATTGGAATGAAAACTGACCTTGTCCAGTCCTGTGGCCGCTGCTGAGTTTTCCAAATTTGCTGGCATTTGAGTGCCGCATTTTCACAGCATCATCATTTAGGATTTGAAATAGCTCAACTGGAATTCCATCACCTCCACTGGCTTTGTTTGTGGTGATACTTCCTAAGGCCCACTTGACTTTGCACTCTGGATATCTGGGTCCAGGTGAGTGATCACACCATCATGGTTATCTGGGTCATTAAGATCTTTTTTGTATAGCTCTTCTGTGTATTCTTGTCACCTCCTCTTAATATCTTCTGCTTCTGTTAGGTCCATACTGTTTCTGTCCTTTATTGTGCCCATCTGTGCATGAAATGTTCCCTTGGTATCTCTAATTTTCTTGAAGAGATCTCTATAGGTTCCAGTTCTGTTGTTTTCCTCTATTTCTTTGCACTGATCACTGAGGAAGGCTATCTTATCTCTCCTGGCTGTTCTTTGACATTCTGTGTTCTGATGGATGTTTCTTTTCTTTTCTTCTTTGCCTTTTGCTTCTCTTCTTTCCTCAGCTATTTGTAAGTCCTCCTCAGACAACCATTTTGCCTTTTTGCATTTCTTTTCCTTGGGGATGGTTTTGATCGCCTCCTCTTGTACAATGTTTCGAATCTCTGTCCATAGTTCTTCAGGTACTCTATCAGATCTAATCCCTTGAATCTGTTTGTCACTTCCACTGTATAATCATAAGGGATTTGATTTGGGTCATACCTGAATGGTCAGTGGTTTTCTCTACTTTCTTCAATTTAAGTCTGAATTTTGTAATAAGGACGGGGGCTCTGGCTGCAGCAGACCTGGGAGGTGCAGTGTGTGGCATAATTCTTCTTGGAGGAGGTTGCCGTTAGCCCGACCATAGAGCCGCTGAGCATTGACCCACAAACTGGAGAACAACTCCACCAAAGAAGTTCTTGCACTGTTGCAAAAGTTTTAGGACCCACAACAGATATCCCAACCTGGGGATCCAGCAAAGGGACTGAGAGCCTCCAGGGCATTTGACTTTGAAGGCCAGTGGGTTTTGATTACAGAACTTCCGCAGGACTGGGGAAATAGCCTCCTGGAGGGCACGGACAAAACCTTGTTGTGCCAGAACCCAGGAGAAAGGAGCAGTGACCCCACAAGAGACTGAGCCAGACTTACCTATGAGTGTCCAGGAGTCTCCGGCACAGGTGTGGGTCGACAGTGGCCTGCCACGGGGTCGGGGGTGCTGAATACAACAGTCCTGGAAGGCTGCAGTGTACTGGTGTGCTGGTGTAAGCCCTTTTGAAGGAGGTCTCCGTGACCACCTTTACCCTTACCATAGCTTGGCCCCAGGCGAAACTACAGCGAGGGAACACAGCCCGTCAACAGAAGATTGGATTAAAGATTTGCTGAGTATGGCCCCGCCCATCAGAGCAAGACCCAGATTCACCCACAACCAGTCCCTCCCATCAGGAAGCTTTCACAAGCCCGGTACTAAAACCACAGTCATATCCCTGTTAGCCCTCCCATCCCCAAACATGCTCTCTGCCTGCTCAGTTACTGGTGTCCACCGTGCACCCAGTTGCTCCAGTTAATAGCCTCGGAGCCTCTCCTGACTCGTTTTTCTCCCATATGACTTATCCAGTCTTCAGTAAGCCCTTTTGATTCAATCCTAGAAACAGGTCCAGAATCTGATATTTGCTGTCACCTCCCATCACTTCCTTGGTCCAAGTCATCAGCATTTCTCAGCGGCCCTAGTGCATTGGCCTCTTAACTGATGTCTCTGCTTTCTCTCCTAAGTTTAGTGTTGACACAGGAGTCAGAGTGACCTTTGAAATCATGTCACTTCTCTGATGTTCCCCCTCTCTGTGGCTTCCGGTGACACAGTCCTTTTTGTCCTGGCCTCCCCCTGGCCTTACCCTTTCCCCCAGCCCTATTTACTGTTCACCCCCTTCCGTTATTCTGCTCTGGCCCCAGTGACCACATTTCTGAGCACGCCAGGAACTCTTCCACTTTAGGGCCTTTGCACTTGCTGTTTCCTCCATCTAGGCTCCCCCAGGATGGCAGCATGGCCCGCTCCTCTCCATTCACTTCTCTGAGAACCTAAATAGATTCTCTTTTCAGAGAACCTAAAATAGACTCGTGTATCTGACCCAGGTATATCCACTCTGGGGGCTCTGTTGCTCCAGCTAGGTTCCTGGTTATCAAGCGGACACTTCCAAAGTTACTTAATGTCTTTGAACTTTAGTTTCTTTACCTGAAATAGTATTCATTGTAAGGACTGTTGGGACATGAAATGAGGTAATGTCAGAACTCATCTTGTAGACAGTCAAACCTGATAGCATTAAAACACACACACACACACACACACACAAAGTTATCTCTCTATTCTGAGATCCCAAAGAGTTCTCTGCACCCAAAGGCCATGCTGACCCTGGGGCACCTGATGTGTTGTTGTGGGGTAAATTGCATTTTGTGGGGATAAGTTAAGTTTTTGGTGTCTGGAACTCCTGGGTGGAGGTCACCCCTACTCAAGGGACACCTAGTCCCACTGTTCCCACAGACTATGGTAGCCCTATTGTGAAGAGACTTCCCTGGTGGTCCAGTGGTCAGAACTCCATGCTCCACTGACAGGGACATGAATTCAGTCCCCAGTCAAGGAACTTCAAGATCCTGCAAGACATGCAGCATGGCCTATTAAAAAAAAAATGTGGATCCGATGCTCAGGAGTCATACCCTGGCTCTGCGCTGCCAACTGGCCTTGAGACATGGGGCTCATTACTTAACCTCTTTAATCTTGAGTTTTCCTTATCTGTTCAGTGGAGACAGTCACAGCACCCCTCTCCAGGGACTGAAAGATACTGCAGGTGAGCTGTTTTGCATAGTACCTGGCATTTAGTAAATTTGCAGTGAGCTGATAACTGCTGTTATGATCTCAGAAACCTGGGAACAAACACGGAGCAGAAAAACAACAGGTTGATGGAGAGCAGGTGGTGCGTGGCAAGGGTAAGCCCAGAGTCCTGGGGTCCTTGCTTCCAGTGCTTACACCCCAGCTGGGCGGTTCCCCCCAGCCTCCCCACTCGAGAACAGGCTCTCTCTTTGTCAAGAGTTGGCTGTAGAGAGAAAGTTGACCACTTGGCAAGAACTGGGAGAGCTTCCACAGGTGAACATTTTATTGTCTGTAAACTCTTCTTTGGTAAACAAGAAACCCAAAGGGACAAGGAGCACGCTGCATCAGGAAAAGGACGAGGCTGACACCCACCACGAACAAGGAAGGAGCTCTGAGAGGCAGCTACACCATTAGCGAGGTGGGGCAGTGGGCCTGGGGGGTGGGGGTGGCTGGTGGCATGGGGGGGAGGCAGAGAAGAGGGTCCACTCTGTTGGACATGGACGTCTAAATCATACAGCGAATGAGCTCATGCATCACAGCAAGGAGAACCAGGGACCCCCCTGTCCGTGCCCCCACCCACCTCCCACGAGGTTGGTGCCCCCCTGCACACACAGCTGTGCCCGGTCAGCCAGGGTGGGGCTGCGGGGGGCTCCAGGGGGCCCGGCAGCAGCCCCTTCTCCATTTCTCCTTTCCTGATCTGCAGGCTGGTGTGTGCAGGTGGCAGGGACAGTCACAGGGACGCTCAGGATCTCTGGGTCTGGGCGGCAGTGGCAGGGCAGCAGGGGCAGGTTTGAGGGGGAGGTGGCGAAGCAGCCCCCACCCCCTGTTTTACAGGGGGGGCTCACTGCAGAGGACAATCTCCAGGTCCTTGCGGTAGAGCTTCCCCGCCTCAGCCAAAGACATGACACTCTTTCTGTAGCTGGTGAGCTGTTGGATGTTCATTTCCTAGGAGACAGAGGGAGAGGGTAAGAGCAGGTTCAGGGGAAGGCGCCCCTCCCCCCCCAGCCACCTCCCCTCTCCCCGAAATGTTCATTCACCAAAACCTTTCCCTCATCCCATCTCAGTGCAAGTAGCCGAGAGGCATACAGAGCATGGGCTCTGGGGTCAGAAAGTGAAGTCCGACTCTTTGCAACCCCATGGACTGTAGCCCACCAGGCACCTCCGTCCATGGGATTCTCCAGGCAAGAATACGGGAGTGGGTTGCCATTTCTTTCTCCAGGGGATCTTCCTGATCCAGGGATTGAACCCAGGTCTCCCGCATTGCGGGCAGATGCTTTAACCTCTGAGCCACCAGGGAAGCCCAAGCCCTGGGTTAAGATGCTGTCCCCTTACTAGCTGCATTGCCTTGGGGAAAGTATTCAGCCTTTTCTAAGTCTCAGCTGCCTCATCTGTAAAATCGGTACTGGTACAGTCTGCCTCACTGAGGAGTTACAATGATTAGATGAGAAATGAATGTAAACAGCATCGAGCACAGTCCCTGACACTCAGCATGCGCGCCACACAGCAGCTGTTGATACCTGTCATTATCGACAGACAGCTTCGCTAAATTCCTCTACCTCACTGGGCCTCCGTTCACTCAGTCCGCTGGGTCCCGTTGGGTGAGAAAGAGAATGCCAGGGAAACGCCACGATTTTGCCTTTGCCCTAAGCCGCACCCAGCGGGACAAGGAATTCTAATTCCCCTCTCCTCCAGTGGCAAAGCCTGCCAGCCTACTTCTTGCTCCCTGGCACCTTGAGGCCTTCAGAGGCTCTAAGACAGGTGACCCACGGTCTCATATAAAATGGAAAAACTGAAAGTGATAGTCATCCAGTCGTGTCCGACCCTTTGAGGCCCTATGGCCTGTAGCCTGCCAGGCTCCTCTGTCTGTGGGATTTTGGAGGCCAGCACTAAACAGAACACCAGCAGCTGATAAGCCTTGTGTGGCTTTGGATGCAAACAGCCAGTAGTACTGAAATACAGCACAGTCATCATCATCGGAAAATCACTTAAGCAGTTTTCTTTTTCCTTCCCTCCTTCTTCCCTCCTACACTTCTTTTCTTCCTCCTCCCCTCCTTCCTTCCTTCCTTTCTCCTCCACTTCCTCTTGTATTGAACCTGTTGACAGATCTTTTTTTTTTTTTTAATACTTCTAGGCTAATGGGTCATTATCCCCATGAGCAAACTGAGGGGTGAAGACTAAGGGATTGGCTAAAGGATGGAACCAACCCTACAGCCATGAAGAGCCTTAGTCCTCTGAGTCCTGAAAGCTGTAATTCTCTACCTGGCTTACCTGGAGTCAGTGCTTGAGGGTCAGTCCTTCATTGCATTCTTTGGTGACATCTCCTCACAGGACTGATGGCTGGGTTTGCGCTACCACCCAATCCCAAGGCACTTTGCAAACATCTCTAACTTCCCTAAAGTTGTGAAGTTCCTGGAAATGCCACCTAGTTCAGAACACTGAGGTGTGCCTGAGCGACCTATCCCTCAATCAGGAGCCAAGGAAGGGACCCCCTATATCAGCCATGAGCCTGAGAAAATCCTCTGATTCAGCATGGCCTGAGGAGTTCCAGCAGAATGGAGGGAGGAGGCTGCTTCCTTTCTATGTCTAGAAGCATTGTGTGAAGCTGGGGAAGGCTTTAGCAGGTTAAAGTTGTCTCAGGAACGCTAAGAACATGTCAACGTTTAGGCCCATCAGCCTGTCCCGCAGGAGCCTCAGACATTAATCTGCTCAGAAACTGACTGACCGCCCATGTAGACACCATCAAAATGGCATGTGCATCTGCCATGTGGGTTCACCTAAAAATGGTCATTCCCTTCCCAACTCAGGCTATTTACAGGCATATAGCTCTCTCTACTGATTCCTCCCCTTGATCTCCATGTGCTCAGTCTGGAGCTTAGAACTGGTGGAAGGTTCCCAGGTAAACAACTTTATTAATATCCTTGTTCTCTAACCTTCAGAATTTTTCTTAACCACAACACCTGACTTTTTTTGTTTGTTTGCACATCTCAGAAAGTCAAGCTGTATAGCCATATTGTTGTCTTTTTGGGAATCAAGGAAGACCATAGTTAGATGATGACCAGGAAATTCAGGTCTCTCCCCAAATTTAATGCCTGCCCTCAAGGCCTATCAGCCTCAGGCATAAAATAGGGTCATATGGAGAAAAACTATGCCTCATTATTCCAATTACAGTTAAGCATATTTTTCATTATGATGCCCAACATCCCTTGAACACATACGGATACCCAAACAATTTTCTCCTAGAGTTTGGTAGCAGAAAAAAGTTTGCCAAGTTCAAGCACGTGATGAGTAATTCCTTCTTCCTAGGAAGTATTTGCACATAATTTATTTTTTGCCTCTTTCAAAAAGCAATTATAGGTAACATTAAAAAAGATAAACTTAGAGTGAAAGAAATGAAGGATGATATTCAGGATAGAGATAAAGAGGTCAGAAGACAATTGGAAAGGGAGACAGATAGACTCAGCGGCCATGATGAATTTTTTTCCCTGAAATTAGGAGTTAAATTTAGTTCTTGCCTGACTGCCCAGGCAGTTAGACAATGCAGGGAATTATAGATCACTCATCATCTAATTAAAGAAAGCATCAAAAAAGCCATTTGCTCAGAGAAAGACATTTTCCAGGAGGTGGAGGAAGACGCTGCCAAGACTTGTCTCCTGGTTCCTCTTCTGCCTGTGTCCGCCCATCCTGGGCACCGAGATGAGCCCCTGTGGACTGCCCAAGAGGCAACATGACCCGGCAAAGTAATGGAGTTCAGTTCCCAGCCTTTCCTTCCAGGGAACACATTTGTCAGGGACTTCTGTTAGCCCCTTCCCCAGCTCAAGATTCTAGAGTCAATTCAGAATACCCTCAACTCCCACTGGCCATGCTCTTCCAAATCTCTCCTAGTGTAAAAAGTCTTTTTTTTTTTTAATTTTTATTGCCACATGACTAACACTTCCAAGAAGTGTGCCACAATAAAACTGCCATGGCTCATAGCTGCATTGTTTACATCAGTCAGCAGGGGGCAATCCACGTGTCTGTCTGTGGACAAACAGATAAAATGTGGGATAGTCACACCACGTTACTCAGCCTTAAAAAGGAAGGAAATTGTGACACATACTACAACATGGATGAACCTTGAGGAAGTTACATGAAGTGAAATAAGCCAGACATGGAAAGACAAATGCTGCATGACCCCACTTGTATGAAGTATCTAGAGCGGTGAGATTCAGAGACAGAGTACAGAATGGTGCCAGGGGCTGGGGCGGGGGGCAGCAAGGGGGAGTTATCATTTACTGGGTACAGACTTTAATTCTGGGAAGACAAAAAGAGGGCTGGACGGTGGGGATGGTTGCAGAACGCTGAGTGTACTTGATGCCACTGAACTGAACACTTAAAAGTGGTTACGGCGGCACACTTTGGTGTGTGTATTTAAAAAAAAAATCAACCATGAAAAGAACCCACAAAACTGCTGTTGCCTTGTTAGGGGTGATCAGAGGGGAGCAGGTGCCCCTTGGCCGGCCTTCCCACTTCCACACCACCTCCATGACAGCACCCCACCTCTGGGCTCAGCCCCTCACCTTCTTATTTTTCTCATACAGATCCTTCAGGAGGGCGTCCAGTTCGTTCTCATCAATGTAGCCACTTCCGTCCTGGAAGGGAGCCAAGGGTCAGCACAGGGCCTCAAAACTCATGCCAACCCCTGACCAGAGTCTAGCTTTGCTGAGGGTCCTTACTCTGAGCAAAAGAGGTGCCCAAATAACATGTCACTTCTGACTTTGCCAGTCACTGCAGCAATGTGAGGGCCCAGGGCAAACTGTTGGTAACCTTCCCTTCCGGTATTTTACATTTGCGTTGAAAATGTAAATGAGGTTCAAGAAGCATTTTGCTAACTCGCTCGGTGTTGAATCCCACAATAATATGTCAGGGTAACATGGGGCTATTTACCCCAAACCTGTAGTTGTAAGGAAAACCACTGGAGTCACCCAGGCAAGGGCAGCTGAGAGGGGTGAGAGTGGTACAGAGGGCCTCTCACTCCCCACTTCCTAGAAGAACAGCAAGGTGGTGACCTGGCCCTGGGGGAGCAGTACTGAGCACCTCCTGCCTTTGGGCCCCAACAGTGTAATCGCATCCTAGTCCTGGGCTTGACCCTCTTCCTGTCCACAAGCTATTCTCTCCTGTACTTTGAAGGAACCAAAACCTTGGGTACCACAAGTCACATGTTGTTAAGAACGTTTATCTTCTCAGGGAGTATGCTGCAGGGACTCCAAAGGGACAGGAAGGAACTGCATGGCCCAGACCGCTGCTCCCACAGCTTGTTTACTTCTGAGGACCAAGTGAGCATTCTGGTGGTGGTGGGTGACTGGGATGGGCCTCCCGCTTCTCCACCCACACTGTCCTCTCTCTTACCTTGTCATAAAATGTGAAGATCGCGTTGAACTCCTCCGAGGTCAGCTTCATGCCCTAGAAGGCCCAAGGTATTAAAGACAGAAGCCAAAGCCCTGCAGTGTGTGTGTGTGTGTGTGTGTTTTGAGGAAGGGTGAGCTCAGCGGGACGAGGGGAAGGGAGTAATCGAAGAAAAGCAAAGTCGCTCTTTTACCTGAAATTTAAGCAGGAAGTTTTCCTGTACAGGCAAGAGTCTGGAAAGATAATGTTAGAGCAGTAATTAGGAGACAGAGCAGAGATAGGAACAACTAGGACTTGGGGGGGATGCAGAAGTAGCATCTGTAGTTACAGAAATGATTTCTGAGCACTTCAGAGGAAGGTTCAAAAAAGAGGGAGACGGAACGTTGAGGTGATAATGATCACTATTTGATCTAACTTTGAGCTTCGGGACACCTGACCTGTCACTTTCCCCACTGGCTGATCTTGGTGGTGGGACGGTAGCATAGGGATTATCTGCCAGGGTCTTGTGAAAAGTGATGCTGGGGTGAGTGAGGACGGGTACTTACCGGGACATCTCCGAGAGGCCCAGTTTGCCATCCCCGTTCAAGTCGAACATCCGTAGCTGTTGGGGACAGAAAGTGGTGCTTGGATTATTTGCTTTGACCTTCGCTCATGTGAGACCTTGACCCGCCATCCCCTGTGCTGGAGGGGAACATGGCCGAGCATGCTCATGCCTCCTCTGAGGTTGCCTGGAGGCAGGGGGCAGCATGGGCTAAATCAGCAGGGACTTGGTCATGGCTCTCCTCTCCCCTTTCAGAGGGACAGGGCTTCAGAGGACAGAGGCCAACACTGAAGGCCCCCCCACCAAGTTTACCCTCTCCTGGAGCTGTGGAGGCTGCCGCACAGACAGATGCTCTGGTCCTACTCTGGCCCAGGAGCATCTGGCTGAGTGGGAACCTCAGAGAGAAGGTGCTGGGGCCATGAATTGACATCTCTCCTGCCAGCTGCCGCTGGGAGTCACTTCTCCCCGGCCTGAAGAATCAGCTAACTAATGACCCCGCAAACCCCAGATCCCACCGATTTGGGTCCCATGTCCTGTGCCCTGGCTACTCACTATGGTTTGGGTGTACTCTTGGAGCTTGGGTTCATCATATGGTCGGTTCGCCTTCTTCAGCAGATCAGACAGGAATCCCTGGAATATGAAAGGCCTCTTCAGAGCTCCTGACTCAGTCTCTCTGCCCCTGACTCACTTGTTCCTTCAGACAGTCACTCGATCTTGTTTTCTGAAGCCCATCATTTGCATAGCTTGCAGCCCTCATAATTCCCTCACCCCTTAATGCTTGTGGAGTAACCCCAAAGGAGGCAGGAGCTGCTAAATGCCACCTCATCCCTTAGGACAGGTGGTAGAAACCGGCTCTGGCTCCTTGGAGAGCCCAGAACACATGCTAAGTCATGCTGGAGATCCCTGGGTCTAGAAGAGTTTGGTAGACGTATAAGCCAGAAGGCCAAACTGCTAGAGCACTTGGAGGATGCCTGCTCTGGGCACTGATGTGCTGAGGAGCGTAAACTGGTTGTACTCTGTGACCTGCAGTTCCACGTTGCCGATTTCACATGGCTGAATACGTCCAACCGTTCAGAGCTAGGCCTGAGTATCCCTGATCAGGCCACACACCCAACTTCCTCACCCAACATCTCCTCCCTCCCCAGGTTCCTTAAGCCCACCACCACTTGGGCCTCGGGCCCATGCTCCACCTTTCCACACCCTCCCTGGCAAGGCCCATCCTACCTTGAGCTCATTGGCTTCAATGTAACCGCTTCTGTCTGTGTCATACTTCCGCCAAGCCTGCAACAGGAATGTCAACCTATTCACAAAGATTTATCCACACCTATATGCTTCCCTCCATCTCCCTTTAACAAGACAGGCTGGGTCTTGATATTCAAGAATATCACAGTGGGATGGGGACATTGAGATGGTTTAGCCCAGTGCCTTCCATATTACAGATGAAGAAACAAGGGCAAGTGTCTTGGCCAAGGTCACATAGAGGAGAAAAAAAACCTGCTGGGACAGGGTCTCTCTACTCTTAACTGGCTTCACGATCATCTTGTAACCAGGGTTACAGTTTTCTTAGATACCAGCCAGGCAGATTTTATCAGAACTAGCACTAGGATCTGTGGATCCTATTTTTGTTGGGGGTATATTGAGTGTCCTTTTACTGTTCTGGAAGCCTTTCATTCTCTGCACGGACACTGGGGGCAAGGCTAAGACCCCTCTGGAAGGGGCAGAAACAGATTTTGGTTACTCTTCACTGTACTATGTCCTCTACCCCTCATCACGATGCCTGTGATAGCCACGTCTGAGGATGGAACATAATTGGTAGTGTAATCAGTTTGTTTAAACTATCCCAAGGCCACTCCCCCATCTTTCTGATAAAAATCATCCCCCATCCTTTGTTTTTTAGGAAACTACCCCTCTCTCATGTTCAGTACACATGGTTCAAGAAGGGCTGACCAATCTCCAGAAGTAGACATGTGACCTAGGCCTGGACAGTCAGTCCCTCCCTGGATTTTGCTCCATTACTGGTTCTGGGCTCTGATCTGAGTCCCAGTTATTCAGTACATGCGTTGGGTCCCTGTGAGAAACCAGAGAACTGCCTGCTGACCCAGCATCTGGAGGATCAAAGAGATACAGAGATTCAGCAGGTGATAGGGGTCTGACCACCTCTCTCCTCTCTGTTCTGTCCATCTGAGCGAGAGCAAACAGTATATGGGAGAAACAAGGAAAAACAGTTGGCATGGTTTTAAAATGTCCATAAATCCTTCACCTCCCTAATTCCCATCTCCTTGAAAGTGGACTGAACTCAGTGACCCACTTGTAATGAATAGAAGATGGCAGATGTGGCAGTTGTGGCTTCCAAGACTAAGTCACAAAGACAGCGAGGCTGCCTTCTTGTTCTCGCCCTTGGATCACTCACTCTGGAGGAAGCCAGGTGCCATGTTGTAAGGACACTCAAGCAGCACCGTAGAAAGATACATGTAGTGAGGACCTGAGGCCTCTTGTCAACAGCCACATGGGACTGCCACCCCGGAGGTGCATCTTGCAGCCCCAGTTAAGCCTTCAGATGACTGCTGCCCTGCTGACATCTTGACTCTGAGCCAGAACCACTTGGCTGAGCTTTACCAAATTTCCCCAGAACCTGAGAGATGATAAAATGTTTGTTGCCTTAGGCTGGTAAATTTTGGGGGGTAATTTGTTAACATGGCAATAGGTAACAAATACAGTGGTCCTGAAAGAATCTGGTCCTGAGTGCAACTGTCCTGAAACTCAAGCCATCTGGTGGGGAGGAGGGAATACCATGATGAGGGGTGATGGTGGTGGAAGTGGGTGTATCTGTGACAAAAGGCCCAGAGAACCCTATTTCCCTAAACTTTGGTCTGTTTTGGTGCCTGACCATAGTTCTTAGATTTCTTTTCACGTTTTCTTCCCTTAATTTTCATTCCCTTCTCCCCTAGCCCCAAACAGCACACCTAGACTCGAGCAACACTTGATTTTCTAAGAGTCAGCAGGGACTCATTCTTTTCCCAGATTTGATCTCCTGCATCCCTAAGTCCTCCACATCGTGCCCTCCCCTTAAAAAAATTTTTTTATTATAGTTTATTTAAAATGTTGTGTTAGTTTTGGTGTACAGCATCGTGATTCAGTTATACATATGTGTATGTATATATATATATATTCTTTCTCATGTTTTTTTTTCTATTATGGTTTATCAGAGGATAATAAATACAGTTCCCTGTGCTATACAGTAGGACTTATGTTGTATGGTTTACCTATTTTATATATAATAGTTTGCATCTGCTAATCCCAATCCACGCTTGCCCCCCTCACCACCTCCTTGGTGACTGCAAGTCTGTTTTCTGTGTCTGTGAGTCTGTTTCTCTTTCACAGATAAGTTCATTTGTGTCATATTTTAGATTCCACATGTAAGTGATATCATATGGTATTTGTCTTTCTCTTTCTGACTGACTTCAGTTAGTATGATAATCTCTTTCTCCATCCATGTAGCTGCAAAGGGCATTATTTCTTTCTGTTTTATGGCTGAGTAATATTCCATTGTATATATGTACCACACATTCATCTGTCTATGGCATGTCCCCCTCTTATTGTGAGGTGTGTGAGGACCTTTCTTCCATACTACCAAACTAGGCTGTGACTCTCATGGTATAGTCTTGTCTTGTTCAGTCGCTCAATTGTGTCCAACTCTTTGGTATAGTAGTGGCTCAAAAAATTTGATCCTGGTTTTTTAGGAAGCTATGTTGCTCGTAGACTTATTCTATGTGACACTTGGATAGATAGCTTTTGACTTGGGAAGAGAACTTTCTTTGGGGAAAAAAATGCCCAGTTCCATAAAAATATTCCATCTCATGCTCAGAAAGCCCACCCTTGAGTTAAGCACAAAGAAATATGTGCAGATTTTCAAATATGACTTCACCAACCACCTGCATGCATTGAGTGCATTAGAATTTGGTTTCTAGGTTGAGTCTTGACTGGGAGAAAAGACAGATGCCCCCCAAGTTGCCTGGAGGGACCCCAGTGCTCACAGAAAGCAAACTATTCAGCTGCCTTCAGAGGAGAGCATCCAGCAGGTCTGCCTCCGCTCCCGGGACCCGCCCCGGCCCCGAGACCCCATGCTGGGCTTCCCTTCCCTTCCACACTTTGCGCTCTGCCATCAGTGGGCCACTCTTCTCTTCCCATTCAAGGAAAAGAGTTCAAGAGACCTGGGCTTTGTGAAATCTCAAAGAAATCCTGAGGTGTCACTAAAACCAGAAATTAAAATGTTGTTCTGAGCAGTGGGATGGAAACCATCCGAGAGCACAAGGCTTTCGGGGCCACAGAGGGGCCATTTCAGGTTTCCTGCTGACAAAGATGGAACCAATGGACAGCCCCAAGAGGGGTGGTCCTGTAAGGCAGTGGGGTTCCAGGAAACTTGTGGGATGGGGTGGGGATCAGTTGTTATGCTGGGCTTAGCTTAAAGGACAAAGACAGGTAAAATATGGAACCATGTCAACTACACAGAAAAAAACCACTGATGATTTAGGGGCGGGGGTGGGGTGGGGTTTGTTTTACTCCTCTTTAAGCATCTCTATACCCTGTAAGCTATCATCCCATTTTCCTGATCATAAGTGGAACAGAGCCAATCTCTGGCTGCCTCACCATCAAGAAAGGAGCAATCAGGTATAAATGCTCCCTTTTCTTTTCTCTTTTTTGGCCACACGATGTGGCAGGTGGGATCTTAACTCTCTGACCAGGGATGGAACCTGTGCCCCTTCAGTGGAACCAGAGTCTTAACCACTAGACCACTAGGGAAGCCCCTTTTCTATAGACAGAAAATTGACACTCACAAAAGTAGCCCCACCCCCCACAAGTTCTATGTATATGTGACTTCTCCTTCTAGACAGGTAAGGCGGGGCTAAGAACAGAATCCAGCATGTCAAATTACTAGCTTATGGAGTTTTGCCATCTTAAAAAAAAATGGAGAAAATCCTTTAAAGCACCATAAAATTAAACCCATATCTAATGCTTGGGCATGCTGCCACTTAAAAAAATGAGTCTTCTACCCTGAGAATCCATGATTTCTAACTGACTTTCTATCCGTGTGGGGATCTCTCTGCCATGTGTGTTTCTGGACTGGCTCTCCAGTCATTTTTAAGCAGTGAATCACAGACAGGAGATTACCGGTGGCTGGAAATGGATTTAACATGACAAATATGGCAACTGGAGTTGTGTTGAAGGCCAGTTAGTTAGTTATCACAGCAGGCAGAGTGTGTGTGTGTGTGTGTGTGTGTGTGTTGGGATGATGAAGGGATGAGTTGAATCTCACCTTGACGGACATATATGTTGAGTGGCTAGGGTGCAGAGCCCCAGAAAAATAGCAGAAAATATTTGGTAGTTTGCTTGATTAGTAATATATTTGGTTAAAATGTAAGGAATTTCCAATTTTTGTAAATAAAGAATGATTAAATATGAGCAGTTTCTCATGGTTCAATCTATTGGTTGAATATTACTCAGAAGACACTTGAGTTTCGTTGTCCTGTTCACATGAGGTTCTCAAAGAATCCCTACTGCAGAGATGACCACATCCACTTTGAAGATGGACAGTGAAGCCATGACCACAGTCAAAGATCAAGCCTGGAAGATACTGGAAACTGGAATTCTCACTGGCCTTTTTCAGTTTTAAATGGTGGCTGAATCCATCCTTTCCAAGAATGCTTCTTGGAACTCTGAATTCCAGGAACACTAATGCTATTGAGTGAGAAGAAAACATGAAGGACTCTAGAAGCAAACTGAATAACCCAGGCTGTTTGCTGCAGGATTTCTCAGAGCCTGTAATATGCAAATATCTATGGCAAATACCCAAATGGGAAGCAGTGTGTACACATGATTTCCCAAACGTACTTTGAAGTGAAGTGAAGTGAAAGTCGCTCAGTCGTGTCTGACTCTTTGTGACCCCATGAACTATACAGTGCATGAAATTCTCCAGGTCAGAGTACTGGAGTGGGTAGCCTTTCCCTTCTCCAGGGGATCTTCCTAACCTGGGGATCGAACCCAGGTCTCCTGTATTGCAGGCGGATTCTTTACCAGCTGAACCACACAAGGGAAGCAAAAAGGTACTTTACCCAAGCTTACTTCTCACCGTATCCTCCACACTTTAGTGTGCACACACATCACCTGGGGATTTTGTTAAAATGTAGATTCTGATTCAGTGGGTCAGGACTCTGCATGTCTAACAAGCACCCAGGTCATGGCGACACTGATGCTCCTGGTCCACAGACCACACCTTGAGTAGCTGAGCTACTCAGAAGGGGTTTGGTGTCTTCCAGAGACCATTACTAGGCACTGGGTGGGCCTGTCTCTGAATGTGAGAGAAAGGCAGGCCCCAGTGTGCAAGAGAGAAGGCAGCGCCTTGGTCTCACCTCCATAAACTCAGTGCTGGAGCCCACGTGCTGCCTGAAGCACAGAAGGAAGTTCTCCTCGGTCGGCAGGATCTGTGCCAGCTGTGGGGATCAGAGAGTGACAGTAACATTACAGCCCTGCCAGGAAAGGTCGGAGAACAGCCAGTGCAAGGCAGCATGGGAGCCACATTTTGTTCCATTTTTGCTGCTTTCCTTGAGAATAGGGGCTGGCAGCCCTTTAAAGGGGAAGGAGGATTTTCTAAGAAGCGCTTCTGAGTGCCCCCAAGCCTCTGGGTATGAGTAGCTAGAGGGACCAAAAGTGGTGCCACTTTAAAATGCATGTATTAGGACTCAAAGGAATACTTACTGATTCCATATCTACACAATTCTAGAAAATGCAAAGCAATCTGAGATGGGTGTTTGCTGGTGCTCAGAGGACCCTTTTGGGGGTGATGGAGATGCTGTATTTTTATTGCAGCTGTATACAGCTGTCTAAGCTCATGGAATTTTACAGTTCAAATTGATGCTGCTTACTGTATATAAATTATACTGCACACAAATCTGGTTTTTAAAAAAATGCAGTATGTGCCCCCACCCTGCCCCTCATCTTCTCTGCTCCCAGTATTCTGGAGTCACAGGCAAATCCTAATCAATCTCAGTTAAATTTAATAATCTCATTTCCCTGGCCAGTGATTGGCTTTTGGGTAGGACTGACCTAGTCCTAGCCAATGAAATGTGAGGGGAGGTCTGCGGAGGGCACTTCTGGGAAAGGTTTCCTTGCTTTTATCAGGGACCAGTGAGGTGGGCTCTTTCTGCATCTGGATGTGATGCCTGGAACTGCTGTAGCTAGCTTTCTTATCCAGCCTGGGGATGAAGCCGTTGTGAGCCAGAGAACAGAACCAGAACTGCAGAGAAGCCAGGCTGGAGACCTGGCCTCTTTCACCACCTGCCAACCCTTCTCACAGCATTTCTCCTTAGGCGTCTCTCACAGTTTAAGCCAGGAGTCAGTATATTACAGCCCATGAGCCAAAGCTGGCTCTCCGTCACCCCCAAAAGAGTCCTCTGTGTACTCGCAACCACCCATCTCAAATTGCTTTGCCTCTTTCTGTAAAGAAACTTGTGCTGGAGCACGGCAGGGCCCATGTATTTACATACTCCTGGGCTGTTTCTGTGCCACAGTGGCAGAGCTAAGGAGTCATGACAGAGACTGTACCGCCTGCAAACTCTGAAACATTGACCACAGTCTGTATCTTTACAGAAAAAGCCTGCTGACCCCTGGTTTAAGCCCACTCGAGTCACGATGTTCCGACACCTGCACTTTAGGCATCTGTAGTGGATGATCTCGGTGCCTTTTGCAGATCACCTTTAACTAGGCTGGTGGGCCTCAGCGGCTGAGAAGGCTGTGAGCTAGGGGCTCATAGCTGCCCCTGCAGGAGAACTGCCCTTCACCAAACGGGCTGCCCCAGCCATCCTACCCTCCAACCCCCATCCTGGAGGGGGCAGCCTGCATCCAATACCTGACTGACATAGGGGTTCACAGGACCACCCTACTACCCCCTCACTTCAAGGTGGGACCAGCTCGGTGGCACAATCCGCCCTCCAGAGCTCCCCATGCCATCAGCTGAGACCACACCCTTCCTTGGCTTCTTCCTCTGCCCCGTCCTGCTGCTGTCTTCCCTGCTCTTGAAGTCCTGCCCACTCGAATCTCTGTCTCAGCATCTGCTTCCAGGGCACTGACCTGAGGCGCCTGGTAACCAGTCCACCCCAGAAGAACTCTGTCCTTTGTGTGCCCAGCTGTCATTCTGGATCACTTGACCATGGGTTGCAAACTGATTTCCTGAAGAGTTTGGTTAGGCCTGCACACGTGTGCACATGTGTATGTGTGTGTATAAGTGTGCATATGAAAAGTGAAAGTGCCACTCGCTCAGTTGTGTCCGACTCTCTGCGGCCCCATGGACTGTAGCCTGCCAGGCTCCTCTGCCATCGTTAAACAGGAAGACTGAGGTGGCCTTAATGCCTTAGTAGCCTACATAAGCAAACCAAAATCTAACCAACCAACCAAAACAGCCAACTAGGCTTCCCCAAGTAATGGAACCACTGAGGCTATAACCAGTCAAAGAACATCTTTGCTACTGTCTCTTCTTTATAGAAGTCTCCCTTAGCTTCTGTTGGTAGAGTGTTCCTAACTATTTCAGGTTGGTCCTGCCCCATTTGAATTGATTTTTGCTTAAAGAAACTCTTAAAAATTTTAATATGCCTCAGTTTATCTTTTAGCAATATGTATATCTATGCATATCAGTATGCATATATAAATGTGTGTGTGTATATAAATACATACTACATACTACATATGTAAATTATACACACACACACCCTCCTTTGGATGCCTTCAGGTGGGGCATGAACTCTCCTACTCCCCAGTCCTCACCCTGTTTTCTGTCTTAAGTTCATCACACATTTATAGTACCTGTTGGACCCTGAGAGCAAGTTCTTTATCCCTGTCTTAGGCCAATGTTTGTTCCTCTTTCTTTGGGAGACAAAGAAAAAGTTCCATCTGTTCTCTTTGATCAGCCTGAGTGCTAGGGGCTTTAAGACCACCACCTCATCAGACTCCTGGAAGGATGCTCATGCATGGGAAAGATACAAGCAACCGATGACCCTTCCCACGTACCTCTTAGCAGCTAGGACTCAGGTCTGATAACTATAAGCAGCTTAGACACTAGGACTCACCTCTGCCATCTCGATTTTCCCATCTGAGTTCTTGTCATATTTCTGCATGAATTCCTTCATCTTCTCCCCTAAGTTGTCACTCTTTGACACCTGCAGAAAGACAAAGCAGACTGATTTTGCCACTAGGTCCCCTTCAAACCAGGGATCTCTCACCCTTTTAGTGTGGCAATAATGGGGAGTTATTTTGCATCCCAAATATGCAGGTTGAACCTGTGTGCAACTGGGTAGAACCAGTGGTCTGAGTAATCAAGGCTGTATTCTTGACAAAACCCACTACAATATTGTAAAGTAATTAGCCTCCAACTAATAAAAATAAATGAAAAAAAATGTATTTGTGGGATAAAAGACAACGTGAAGAGCATAGGGAACTATATTCAATATCCTGTACTAAACCATAATGGAAAAGAATGTGTCAAAAGAAAATCACTTTGCTATACAGCAGAAACTAACATAACACTGTAAATCAACTATAATTTAATAAAATAAAATTAAAAAAATTTTTTTAAAAAGCTGTATTCTTTCCTTTTCAGGGTCCTTCCTTTTCAGTGTTTTCTTTGAGGCTTGTGCATGCCTGCTAAGGTGCTTCAGCTGTGTCTGACTCTTTGTGACCCTGTGGACCATAGCCCGCCAGCCTCCTCTGTCCATGGGATTCTCCAGGCAAGAACACTAGAATGGGTTGCCGTGCCCGCCTCCAGGGGATCTTCCCGACCAAGGGATTGAATCCGCGTCTCTTCTATCTCCTGCCTTGGCAGGCAGGTTCTTTACCACTAGTGCCACCTGGGAAGCCCTCTTTGAGGCTCAGTCACATAATTTTCAAAGGGGAACAGGACATGTGGAGATTCTGTGTACCACATAGGTAAACACACCCTCTACCTTTGGAATGGATTAAACGATAAGTCTGTCAGAAGGGTGAGGATTTAGTCCCACTGCAAATATGAGAACTCAGGTCCCAATATTTTACTGAGGCAGCTTCTAATAAGTCCAGCTTATTGCAAGGCTTACCAGTAGGTTCTAGGCACTCCACCAGAGCAAGGGGAATTGCTTGTTTTCTTCTTTAAAGACTAACTGGCAATTCTGCAATGCTTTTCACTGTGATTTTAGGCCAGGAAGAATGTGAAGAGAAAGTCTATATTAGCTGAGGGGTCATTTAAATAGTCCACTACATGAGTGTGACTACTAAAAAGCATAGCACTTCAAAAGTTGTGTTGGGCAATCATCACCTAACTTAAATTTAAGCCCTTCTTGAAGTTCTCAGAGCTTCTCTTGGTTTGGGGTGCTGGTGATTGATTATTTGCGTTAACAAGCTCTTCCTTATCCTTAATCAACAATGAATTGTTTAGGCATTTGATGCCTTTTCTTTGTTTCACTGAAGGTTTTCTAGTGGATGTGTGTTTCCTAGGATTGGGCCTGTAAGAATTCTACCAATTCTTACAGTCTTTTCTGAATCCCTTCTATTGTCTTTTTTTTTTTCTTTAACCTTTGGGACTGGTCTCAATTTGCCAATATGTGTTTGTTTATCAGTATTTATTGCTTTACATTTACAGATGTGCATGGAGTGATGCTAGACCCTTATCACAAGTAAGGGTCTATTTACCCTATTTGCATTTCACAGCAATCCCCATGAAGCTAGTAACCTGTCTGTTTTACACAGAAATGGAGGCTGAGATGCAGTGGCTTCTCCTGAGGTCACCAGTTAGTATGGCCAGGATGTGAACTCATTATTCCTGTTTCCAAGACCAGCATTTTTCCTGCCATGTAACAGCTGCTCTGAGAACCAGTCCAGGATGATGTTAATTGAGAGTGTTGTTGACAGACTTGAAAATCACCCCTGATGCCATCTGAGGAAGGGAATGACTAAGAGAAGGATTTCAGATTTGAAGCACTTCATAAATTCACATTCCTCCATCTACCTCATGATCCCAGAACCAGCTGAGAAGCCTGTGTTTTCCATGATCTGGGCTTCATTATCCTAGTAATGAGGAGTGATAGAGGACTGTTGATAAACAAACCCATGAATCACCTCCACCACTTAAGCCCATCTCTTGGACATCGTCCTCACTGGGGCCCACTGCTGAGCTCAGAACTGAGTGCTCACCAGTGGGCTTGTGACTCGTCTCCCAAAGGCTCCATGAAGACTTGCTAATAAGCAGTGGGTTAGCCAGCAGACACGCATAAGGGGAGAATGGAGAGACCCTCCCGTGAAAAGACCCACAGGAGCTGGCGGGAGGGAGGTGGTGTGACTCCATATATTTGAGAACCAGACATGAGAGTCACAATGGACTAGCTCCAGTCACCTTACCTTTTCAACCTGTTGGACGCCCCCCAGAAGGCTTTAGTGGTCAGTAGTGCCAAGTTGGCACCAGGAGGAACAAGGTACCTGCCGTTGAGGGCTGGGGTGTGATCTGGAGTCACGCCAGGCCATGAGGGGCGGCCTGACACCTGCACAAATGAGCCAGTGCCGTCCAGCTCAGATACTGCTTTGGAGCAATCTCCATTCTCCTCTAAGGCCTTGCTGAGGTTCCAGCCTTGGTTGGTCTAGAACAGTGGTTCTTAAGTGGGGACAATTCTGCATCCCCTGAAAGGGATATTTGCAGTGTCTGGAGACACTTTTGATTGTCACAGTTTGGAGGGGTGCTACCAGGATCTCATGGGTAGAGGCCAGGGATGCTGCTAATCATCCTACAATGTCCAGGACAGCCCCTCATGATAAACAGTCATATACCCCAAATTTCAGTAGTGCTCAGGCTGAGAAACTCTAGTCTTGAATAAAGGCACTGGAAACCCCCTAGGCATCCAATCTTGAGTCATGACCCCTCTAAGCATATTAGGTAGGCTATGGACTCTTCCCTGGGAAAAAATAATGTTTATAGACACACAAAATTTTGCAGTTTTGGGGGCATTTATCAACCTATGGTACCCATGAACACCCCTCAATTCCAGGCACCCAAGGATAGTGAGGTAAGTTACCCTTTTTAGGGAGTATATCAATTTTTAAAATCCTTCCAAATAAAAGAAAAACTCTAAGGGTCAAGACGAGAGATGTCAGGCTGCTGATGGCATGCATGCCCTGGGACAGATAACGCTCAAAGCCATGGTCAGGATGACAGGAAATTCCAAGCAATGGGAGAGGGGACAGCTTACCATGCCAGAGCCTTTTCTTGCTTTCTCCAATTCTTGGAAAAAGTTTTCTAACTCTTTACCTTCAATATACCCATTTCCTGCAAAGATAGCAAAGAAAAAAAAAAAAGCAATGAATCTCCAAGCTAAATAGTAAGATTTACAGTGGGTGGGGTAGGGAGGTCGGGGGCTTCATGGAGAACTTGTTCTCCTCACTGGTCATCAAGCAGGTGTCTGGGCCAACCCTAGACTGTTAGGGATGTGGGTCCTGTCCTCCAGGCATTTGCAACCATAGAAATCAAGGATTAATAACGGTGTTATCTTTGGAGTATACGTTTAGTAGTCAGAAAGCACTGGAAGGGGCCAGCGTCAGGACCATGCCGGCCGAGGGAGCAGGGGCTGGCAGCTGTCCATCCGTAGCCAGCTGGGCAAGCAGCAGGAGCTGGAGCTCTAACAGGGGACAACAGGTCATCAGCCTCAAGTTCTGTGGGCAGATGGCAAGCCCTGGTCACCAGGGTGGATTGGGTCAGAGGCAGAACTTGAGTCTTTGGTGTACTCAAGTTGGAGGCTATGCTGAATTGAACATTGTCCACCTGGAACTCAGAATGTGACCTTATTTGGAAATAGTGTCTTTGCATACGTAATTAGTTAAGATGAGATCATACTAGCGACTAGGACTAGACCATCCAGTGACTGGTGTCCTTAAAAGAAGTCCATGTGAAGACACAGAGAGATACTCAGGAAAGGAGGCCACGTGAAGAGAGGCAGAGATCAGAGTGGTACATCTCCAAACTAAGGGGTGCTGTGGGTTGTTAGCCATTGCCAGAAGCCAGGAGTGGGACATGGAACATGTTACCCCTCAGAGCCTGGAACCAACCCTGCCTACACCTTGATTTTGGGCTTTGAGCCTCCAGAACTGTCAGAGAAGAGACTCTGCTGTTTTAAGCCACCCAGTTTGTTCTACTTTCTTATGGCAGCTCCAGGAAGCTGATGCAGAGGGAAGAGTGGAAGGAGAAAGGCAGGGTGTCTATCCCATGGGGTGGGGGCACCCGATGTTTTAAAAAGCTCCCCAAGTGCTCTTCATGCCTATAGCAAGCTTTGGAAACCACTGGCTAAAGGTCAATTTCCAAATCTGAACTAAAGCAGTTGAGGAAGTTTCTCGTAGAGAGTATTCAACTTGAAAAGGAAAGGGAGGTGGTAGCTTGTGTCAAGGGCCTACGGAGTTGCAAACTAAACAGAATAAAGAAGACATATTTACCCTGGCCTTGGTGGGGGCTTTTGGGAGGGTGGAGGGAGATGTCAGGGTGGGCGTGTATGTTCTTCCCAGCCTCCCCTCCAGTGCCCCATGATAATAAGTAACCTTACTGGCGCCCTCTAGTAGGAAAAATGCCACAATATGGAGGGTGTATGGAGGGCTTCGTGTGAGATAATTTTTATCTACAGGGAAAAGATACAATTGTAACTGTGAGGCGGGGTGGGGGGGGTGGCTGGTTAGTGCGTGGTGGGGGAAGATTTGAGTTCTCTTCTTCTCTTAGGCTAGGGTGGTCATCTTTCTTCTAGGATGTTCTGCAAAGCTTCTTAGGAGAGCTGGAATTTCACGAGTGCGTGCCTACTGCCAGCGAGGCCGGCTGGAGTGGGGCAGCGGAAAGGGGGTGGGGCGAAGGGCTTTCTAGACAAAAAGGCGGTACCCAGTGGACAGTGACTCCGAGTTGGAGGAACCAGTACTTTTCGTCTCCCTGGGTCACTCCCTGCCGTGATCTGGCTGTTCTTATGTTTCTCAGGCAGGAAGCTGAGCTCACCTCTGGGTCCAGGAAGCCCGAAGCTGAGGCTGGAGCGGGGTGGTGGTGTGTGTGGAGCTCGCAGGGAGCGTGCACTGGGGTTCCATGTGGCAGAGGCCTCCGAGGTGGGCTGGCCCAGGCTGGCTGGACGTGTGAGTCTGCCTGTGAGTCATGAGTGTACTAGGAGGAGGCTGAAGTAACTGTGGGGCTGCTTGGACAGCGCGGGCGGGAAGGCCTCGCTGAGAAACCCCAGCTACTGGCAGAGGCAGGAGGCGGGCAGGAGGGGGCCAGGAGCCGGCCAGCGCCCCCGTGGAAGGCAACTCCTCCTTGAGTCTGACTTGCGCAGCCTGGGTGGCAGGGGGCTGCATGACCCCTCTTGCCACCAGCACCTCATTCTGAGCAGAGCGACAGAAATGTGGTTCAGTTCCACAGCCTTTGTGTTTTTTTAAACTGAATAACAAGTTCAGCATTGTGGGAACTATAGCCAAGTTTAGATATAGGCCTGTTCCCCAAGAGCATTTAATGGTCTCCCGGGGCGAGGGAGCCACACGAGAGCAGAGGTGTCTACCAGCTGAAGGCAGAGGGTGAGGAGCAGAGGTTAGGTAGGCTGCAGGGGGCAGATGAGGCATCTTCCATCATCGGGGTGGGGGCACGGGGAAGGACCTCCACTACCCTGGCTTCCCTCAGAGCGACTCCCTGCCCATCAGGCAGGAGGCACCGGTTATCCAAGGCGGGAGGAGGGGACAGGTTGGCCTACCAGCTTTCAGGGAGGACTTCAGCACTAGGCAGGGGGTTTGCTTTTCCTATGACCATTTTACATGGGGATGGGCTGGCTGGCCACCCCACAGATCTCGTGGATTGGCTTTGATAAGGATGTGGTTAACACAACAACCATCCCTTCTAATCTCCATATCAGCCCACACCCTGTGAACATTGGGGAGGGGGCTGGGTGGAGCCAGGGACCCTGCCTCCTTCCTCATTCTAGCGTGGCTACCATTCTTCACCACCACCCTACCTCGGTTTCCCCAAATTTTGAAGTGAGTCAGCACTTCTTCACAGTTAATCTGGCCACAGACACTTGGAAAATTTTGACTGAAGAATGCCCTGCCCACGGTGGAAAGGGGTTTGTTTCTCACTGACATTTGTGTATACAGATTTTCTGAGAGTTGAACGGGTAAGAGGAGCCTGAGTAAGAGCTGTAAGTCCATCACCATTTCTGTGACTGTTCTGATGTTGAGCCAGTCAGTCTCTCTGAACTCTTGATCTTTCTTGATCTCTAACTGTAACTGTTTATGCTCAAAACTACTTATGCTTTTTTTTTTTTTTAACTTTATAGAGTCATTGTGACACCCATACAACACAAAGCTGTGACAGCATTCTGGAAAACGTAAAATCTCACATAACTTAAAAGCATCATTTTATACTCTGTGCTCTTAAGGTCTTCCAACCAATCCATGGCTATACACTCTTTGGCCCAAAGAGTTGCAGCATTACTGCTCAGCTTCAGAATCCTGGTTCTCAGCCCAGGCTAGGTATTAGAATCACCCAGAGAGCTATTAAACCAGCACCACTGCCTGGACCCCACCCCCAGAGCTCCTGATTTAATGGGGTGGGGGTGTCTTGTTGGCATGTTTTCAAAGCTCTCTGGGCAATTGTGAGGTGCAGTCAGGATTAAGGACTGCTTTAGAGCGGCCTGTCTCAAATTTTAAGGTATGTAAGAATTACCCGGGGAGCTTGTTAGAATGGAAGTTCTAATTTGGCAGATCTGGAGTATGAGAGCTTGATGTCAAAGCGTGGCCTGTGGAGTGGGAACACTGGAATTACGTGAGCCTGTTAGAAATGCAGAATCCCAAGCCGCACCCCAGACCTGCTGATCAGAATCTGCGTTTTAACAACATAGGAGCGTGAACATTTGAGAACCACTGCTTTTGAATGTGAGCTCTTCTCCCTAGAGAGGCCATGCCTTTGGTTGAGGTTCAGGCCTTTGGTTCACCTTTGAAGTTGAGGTGGAGGGCTGGCATGAACCCCGAGGTGGTAGACCAGGGTTTCATTTTAAGTGACAGTGCCTCTTTTGACAAGAGTGGCCTAGACCAGCACTATTCAGAGAGTGATCAGGGCCTGATGATGTCAGTATCACCTGGGAGCTTATTAGACATGCAGATTTCTAACCAACCCCAGACTGGCTGAATCAGGATTGTTGGCAGTGAGGCCCGAAAATGTGCTCTTGAACCAGCCCTCCTGTATGCTCCAGTTTGAGAAGCATGGACCTGGGGCTGTGGCGGTGAGTGCTCACCAATCTGTATTATTCTGTGTTCCTTCTGTTTAAGGAAATCAAGGAGGGCAGTTAGGCAGTTTCAAGTTAGCTGCCCAAGAAAGCATCCAGAAGGCCATGCCTCCTGGCTCCCTGTCAGGAGCTCAAATTTATGACAGGGCAAGTAACCCTCTACCCCCAGTCCCGGTTTTCTTTGGGACACATCTCACCCTTTGTGGCAGGAAATGGGCTTTCTCTGGCTCTGCTCCAATATTAATAATATGCCTTTGCACAGTGTACACCATTTAAAGAGCTCTCCAATTCCTGTCCCATCTGGTCTTCAGGACCCTGCCAGGTAAGCAGACGGGTGCTGTGGACCTCATGTTAGAGAGGAGTTTGTGGGGAAAGAGACTGAACCACAGCTTACAGCCTGTTTTCCTTTGGCTTGCTCCAGGGACGACCTCTGTGCATATCTCTGTTTTGTTTTGGTTTCTCCCTGTGTCAGTCTTGCACAGACAGACAGACAGACACAGACACACGTCTCCCAGAGGCTCCTGGGGGAAGAACCCAGTGTGCACAGCTTCTGGGTGAATATTCCGACACTTGACTTTATCTGTGTTTCTGCGCTGAGCTGCTTCTGGAACACTGGCTCTGGAGTCGGGTCCCCCGAACCTATGGACATCTGGCAGCCTAATGCTGGGCCAGCTCCCAGGGGTGGAGGCCAGAAGGATGGGACAGATTGGGCGAGAGAGGAGGGGAGGCAGAGGGCCGAAGCCAGAGGCCCCGGCTGGGACCGGCTGGGCAGAGGTGGGGTCTGACGCAATCTGCCAGGGCAGCCCCGTGGGTCAGAGCTGGAGGGGCTCAGTTCTTGAAGAGCCGCACGCCTGCTCTATTAATTCTGGCTCCCTGGGTACTAGAAGAGATTTCCCCGAGAGGTCTCCTTAGCCCTGGAAACCTCCAGGGGCTCAGCTACTGAAACGACTCAAGTCTAGAGAGAGATAAACAAGGCGAGCAGGGCAGGGATGCGGGATCGCTGATGGCTGCCCTGGTGCAGCAGGGCAGGCTGAAGTGT